CTTCCACCTCAAGGAACTAATGCATATCTAACTTCCTTTTAGATCATGATCTCTTGAAAGAGTTGTGTATACTTGCTATCTGCTGATTTCATCTTCCTTTCTTCTTGGCTCTTACTTGGGCATATAATTTATAAATATGTTTTATTTTCTTATTTGTTTATTATCTGTCATACCCCACTCAATGACATTAGTAATCTCCAAGAAATCATATGCTTGGAGCTTGGTGCCTATGTCTAAAATAAAGCAAATGCTTTTATATATTTCTTGAGTGAATCAGTGGCTGAGTACAGACATTTTTTTCCCTGTAAGAGTATGACACTTGCATGAAAGAAATGTCCCATTTATTATTTTTTTAATAATATAAATTTGGCCATGTCCTCAACCACTGTCTTTGGTGAGAAATGTAATTTCCGTTGCATTTTGTCCCCCAGCTCCACCATCAACCTTCAGCCCTTGAAACTACACAGAACTCCTACATGCCTCTGTGGTCCTCAGACAAGCTCCTCAGGCCATTATGAATGTGTCTGAAATGCTCCTTAAGTTTAGCGGCCCAATTTGTAACACGTCACTCTGATGCTCCTGGTACTCAAGAATTCTCACAGTTTTGGACTGTTTCACATTGTCTCCACCCTCTTAAGACTTTTAACACTTTACCCCATTTTTTCCCTTATCCTAATTCTTACTCCCATCTTCCTATTTGACTGGCAGTGTTGCTGCAATCAGAAGAGAACTTCCACTGACGCCAAACAGTGCACCTCCCGGCTTACCTGCACCTTGCTCTGGTACTCCAGCTTGGCTCTTATTACAATGAGTGAGAGCTGCCTGTGTTTCTCACCAAGGCCCCCTGAGCCCTGAATCCTATTTCTTGTCTTCGGCTTGAGGGCAGGGCTCCCTAGGTTCTTCCTTTTCTCTCTGGCATCATCAGTTTTTTCTCTCTAGAGACTCATCCCTAAATGGCACACACACAGGTTGCTATTCTACCATCCAAGACTAAACAAACAAAATAAATAAATAAAAACAGAGGCCTCTGACTTTATTTCTTCCTGAAGGTGCCATGCTATTTTTATTACTTCTATTTTTCCTGTAGAGTATAATTTAAAAGATATCTACACCTGCTGTCTTCAATCTATTAAAAGAAGATTTCCTCATCTATATCCCACACAAATTGCTTTTATTTTTTCAAGGTCACAGTGCCTTCCGTGTTGCTATATCGGAGGGTGATTTTGCCACTCTCACTTGAGGTGTCAGCAGCATTTGAAAATTTATCAACATCTCTTCCTTAAAAAACATTTTCACTTGGTTTTCAAGAAACAACATTAACTTGTTTTCCCCTCCTTCCCTCCTGGCTCCTGTTGTTTTTTTTTTAATTTTTATTTATTTATTTATTTATTTTTGTCTGTTATTTTTTTCTCTCAATCTTTTTGTTTGTTTTTGTTTTTTGTTTTGTTTTTTTGAGATGGAAATTTTGCTCTTGTTGCCCAGGCTGGAATGCAATAGTGCGATCTCGGCTCACTGCAACCTCTGCCTCACGGGTTCAAGCGATTCTCCTGCCTCAGCCTCCTGAGTTGCTGGGATTACAGTCATGAACCACCCCACTTGGCTAATTTTGTCTCTTTAGTAGAGACAAGGTTTCTCCATGTTGGTCAGGCTGGTCTTGAACTCCCAACCTCAGGTGATCCACCCGCCTTGGCCTCCCAAAGTGCTGGAATTACAGTTGTGAGCCACCCCGCCCAGCATCTCCCAGTTTTTAAACTGAGCTCTGGCATGCAGTCCTTGACCATTTTCTTTTTCCCAGATACTGTACATACATTCCATAGGCTATCATATCTTTAACTTGATCTCCATCCTTGACCTCGAGACCTTCATATCCAGCTGTACTTTGGTCACCTTCACTGAGATGACAAACAAGCATCTCAAAATGAACAGGTACCTCATGCAACCTAATGTGCCCCAATGCACCAAACCCAGCTCCTCTAAGAGCATTTCTGTCTCAGTAACACTTGATTTCTCCTTGGCTGCTGCTCAAGAGAAAATCCTATTGAGTCCATATTCAAAACACACCCAGAATTTGACCATTTCTCTGTTATACCTGCTGCCCCCACCTTGGTCGAAGTCCCAATCATGTCTGCCATGAATAGCAATAGCTAGCTGACAGGTCTCCCTGGTTCGACTCCCGCCCTTCAGCCAATTCTTCCTACAACAGACGGCATTACCTGATAAAACTGTGAGTCAGATCATCTTAACATTTTTCCTCTTCATCCAGGTATTTTAAAAAATATTAAGGGGATCCACATGGTTCTGCCATCTATTACTCCTCTGACATGAGTCCCTGTGCTCCTTGCTTCTCATTCCACTTGAGTCACTCTCACCCCCATGCAGCTTTTCAATCATGCCAGACACAATCTTCATTCAGGGCTTTTGCACCTACTATTCCTTCTGCCTGGAACGCAGCCCACCCCATCCATAATTTTGCAGGGCCTGTTCCCTCACTTTTCTTAGGCCTTTATTTTCCTTAGTGAGACCTCTTTCACACAGCTTAAAGTTTTATACTTCATCCTTTCATGACCCATTTTACTGCTTTTCTTTTTTTCTCTTTGCAGCATTACTACCTAATCTATTGTGTATTCTGTTTATTCATATTATTTTCCTAACTAGTATGTAAGATATAGTTGTTTTAGTTTGTTCAGGCTGCTATATCAAAAATGCCACAAACTGGGTCACTTAAAAATGATAAACAATTACTTCTCACAGTTCTGGAGACTGGGAAGTAAAAGATCACGATGCTTGCAGACTCTGCCTGGTGAGGTTCCCCTTCCTTGTAGATGGCACTTACTCACTGTCTCCTCCAAGGGAAGGGGTGAGCTAGCTCCCTGGGCTCTTTTTTAGAAGAGCATTAATTCCAATTATGAGAGGTCCACCATCATGTTCTACTGACCCCACAGAAGGTCCCACCTCCTAGTACCATTACCTTGGGACTTAGGATTTCAGCGTATAAATTTTGGGTGGGGGGCAAATCTATAACAACAATACATGTAAATTCTACTATATTGCCTGGCATAGAGTAAGTGCTCAATAAGTTAGTAGATTGCTCCCTCCAGATGAATGCTTTTGCCAGCGCCGGGCAGCTGCTTGAGAGTGAAGCATAGCTCTCCTCCAGGGAGAGAAACCCATCCCTCTCTCTCATCCTTGTCAGGGGAAATCTAACTCTTTCTCAGGTTAGGTCAAGTCTTTCCTCCCTTTTCTAGTCTCCTTTAGTGTCCAACTCACACCATCTATTCAGAGGAACTAGAAACTCCTGTTTTTCTCCCTAACCATATGCAATCACATAGACACAATGCAGGTAAATATTACCTGAGTCACAAGAGCCAACACCAAAATCATTTAACTCCTGGTGCTAAAGGAGGAAAAACAACTCTGTGTGATAAATTTATCTGGACCATATATTAACACAAGATTTGGGTTGCTGGAACACAGTGCATGCATATATTGAATACTGTTCATTTTTGCCAGATTGCTTATCAGAATGGTTTCAGTTTACAGTTCCTCCAGCAAATGTATGAGAGTTCCTTTTTCTATACATTCTCAGCCAGATTTTTACCATTTCAATGGGAGCCGACTTAACTTGTATTACAGTGATCACTGCAGAGCTTGTACATTTCTTCACACACTTGTTGGATATCAGGACAATCCTATTATTTATTGACTTACTTATTCAACTCATTTTCTTATAGTAATAAATCTTTTGTAAATATAGGTATTTTCTACTAGTCTCTCATTTTTCTATAATCTTTGTCTACTTATTTCTTTAACAGAAATATATAATTATTGTATAGTGAAATAAACATTTTTTTGCTCTTTTTCTTTATAATGTATGGATACTGGTTAAGAAAGTTCCATTTTGCAAAAACATTTTCCATCATGTTATCAACAGCATGCTTTGACCTTTCAACTGTGCTTTTATCCATGTGAGGTCCATCTTTGCAAGTGATCTAATGTCGAAGCCTTAATCTATTATCCTCTATTTAGTAAATATGTCTTACCAATACTATCTATTAAAACAAATCTGTTCCTTTTTGTTTATCTATGAGCTATCTTTGTCATATATCAAGTTCCCAAATAAATACAGTCATTTTCTGAGCTGTTCCTTGGGCCAGCATTGAAATGTTTTTAATACTGTGATTTTGGATCATGTCAATCTAACAGGGCAAGTCAACAGTCCTTGCTTTTTTTGTTTCAAAATGAGCTTAGGTATTCTTGGACACTTGTTCTTCTAGGAAATTCTGGAAGGAGCTCTTTGCATTCTTCAAAAAGTCCAGTTGGAATTATAATTATGATTTTATTGAATCTCTTTGTAGAATAACTTGAGTAGATTGATGCATTTCCACTGTTTTTTAAAATCTATGAACATAGTAAATTTCTGTTTATCCTGATCTTCTTTTAATTTCTTTGATTTTAGAGAATTTTGGAGGGACTTTATTTCATGATTCCCAGAAATGATTCCTGCTAAGTTTATCATTCTAGTCAGTGAAGAGGCAAAAGGAATACCAGAAGTAAAATATTTCCTGAGGACTATTGACTTAGAGTTGTGCTGCATAGCAAGTGGTTAGGAGCTAGCACAGTAATTTAGAAAAAGGGCTCTGAGGTCAGAGCTTCTGGGTTTGACTCCTGGCTGTACTCCTTACTGTTTTCGGCAACAAAGTAATCTCAGTTTCCTCATATGTAAAAAGAATACAGTAATATTGGCTAGCTCACAAATTTATTGTGAGGATTGAAAGGCAGAATGAATGTAAAGTGCTTGGTACAATGTTTGGTTTATGGCAAACATTCAATAAATCTTAGCTACTAAAAACAGTGAACATATCAAGCCACAAGTGTCAAGGTACTGATGTATAGCTTCAATCATAGTGAGTAGGTCTCTTTTTAGAAATCAAACCCGGGGCAGGTGCAGTGGCTTGAGCCTCTAATCCCAGCACTTTGGGAGGCTGAGGTGGGTGGATTACCTGAAGTCAGGAGTTCATGACCAGCCTGTCCAACATGGTGAAACCCTGTTTCTACAAAAAAAAAAAAAATACAAAAATTAGTGGGGTGTGGTGGTGCATGGCTGTAATCCCAGCTACTCAGGAGGCTGAGACTCAAGAATCACTTGAACCTGGGAGGTGCAGTTTGCACTGAGCCAAGATCATGCCACTGCACTCCAGCCTGGGTGACAGAATGAGACTTTGACAAAAAATGAAAGAAGAAAGAGAGAGAGAGAGAGAGAGAGAGAGAGAGAGGAAAGAAAGAAAGAAAGAAAGAAAGAAAGAAAGAAAGAAAGAAAGAAAGAAAGAAAGAAAAAAGAAAAGAAAGGAAGGAGGGAAGGAAGGAGGAAGGAGGGAGGGAGGAAGAAAGGAAAGGAAAGGAAAGAGAAAAGAAAGAAAGGAAAGAAAGAGGAAGGAAGGAAGGAAATAAATCAAATCAAGGCATATCACACTGCCTAAGGGGCTCACCTTCTACCTCATATAAAGAAAATGGGCTCTTGTCTTTGTTAATTGACTAGTTGTTGATGACAAAAAATATTGTGTCACCCTTAAGTAGGAATTTAAATTTATCACCATAAAGGTATATTGGTATTATATATTTTTCCCAGTCAGATGGCTAATATTAGTATCTGTTTAAAAGGAAAGGCCTGGTCGGGTGCGGTGGCTCACACCTGTAATTCCAGCTACTCAGAAGGCTGAGGCAGAAGAATCACCTGAACCTGGGAGGCAGAGGTTGCAGTAAGCCGAGATCACGCCACTGCTCTCCAGCCTGGGTGACAGAGTGAGACTCTGACTCAAAAAAAAAAAAAAAAAAGAACTAATTTATTTTCCTTGTCCTAGACTTCTGAGCCTGACTCAGATGTACAAAGGCTTAAATCAAGCAGAACGCGCTGAAGTTTTCTGATGCTTCTTAGGCAGTATCAACACTTTTAATATTATGCACTTTCCATTTTCTCTTTGGTGTGAAGGAGAAGCATTCAGTAAAAATCTTCAGGACTCTAAATACTTAAAAAGGCCCTTCCTGGAATGACAACTGACAGTGAATTCTAGGGTCAATCAGAAATGTGATTTTTTGAAAAAAACCCAGAGAAATTAAATTAACTGGTAGGAACAGACTGCCCCTAACTTGGACCATATCCACCAAATCTATGTTTAAAGATTGACTTTTTGTATGGCAAACATTCTATACCACTGAGCTCTATTACACAGATTTCTAGTCTAATTGGTTTGTATGACAAGAGATTGCAATTTAACTATCTCATATATTTGGAAGGAAAGCATTTTCTCTTTTCCTTTTGTGATTATGCTGCAAAAATCACAAAACCATCCAAGCCTGAAAATCCAGGAGCTTATTCTTGAACTCCATGGCTTAATAAAGATGCACATCCTAGAGTTATTTCTGAGATCCCTTAAAAATATGTCTTGGGTTGGTTGAAGTTTGACATAGGAGGGCACAGAGCAGCATGCCAAAATAATACCATTTGGATTTATTATATATATATATTTATTTTTAAGACAGACCACACAAAGAATCATTCAGCTAAAGCAAAAGCCCCTCAGCAGATTTCAGAACTGCTCAGGAAACTGCCAGAGTGGACACATCTGTATAAGAGCCACAGTCAGAGCAAATGCCACAACATGTGTTCAACCAACGTGATGAACATCTTCCTTTTTCCCAGATGCTCAGATGGCAGTGTGGCTCTGGGCTGTGTTTTCTGAAGTTCTAATGCAACCCACCCAAGGCCCCATGAACCTGTTAACTGGATCAGGTTTTGGCGGATCCTTTCATGAATGAGGCAGAAGCACCAGCTCTGTGAATTGGAGGTGGCTTCCTGGCTCCCAAAGTCAATATGCAGAGTGTCCTGAGGACAGGGGAACATCTCAAGCTTAGCCAGCAGAGCAGATGCTTTGTTTTCAAGCCCTTGCTAGAAGGCAGAAAAAGGGGAAGTTTCTTCAGTGCTTAGCAGTCTGCTCCTCCCACTGATGAATTTTTAATCAACATTTTCCTTCTTTAAGTCAAAATTGATTAAATCTCTATACGTGTCATGTTTGAAAATTGATAATCACATTGAAAAATAACAATATTGTTGACTATACTAGGCAATTTCTTCAAACTGAGTAAAGATGTGATGTGTGTGGTTAACAGTCTCTACCCAGGAAGTGGTTTTATTTAAAAGTTTTGTGCTCACCCCACCCCCCACCTTTTTCTTCCCCCAGTAGTGAAATTAAGCAGCATCCAACACAGGCCTACTCTTACGACATGTGACTTTACTGTTTTCCGTTTTTGTTGAAAGAGTCATTAACCGGAGTTGATGGCAGTTTCAATTACAGGTCATTGCTGAGAAAAGGTAAGTTTTAACTTTATATTGTACATGAAATTTAAACTTGAACATGTTTGGCAGAGTTTCCTACATTTTGGTGTGAAGGTATAAACATTTCTACAAAACATGACGCTTTTACCTATGATTAAAACATCGGCTGGTTTCCTTTGGTGTAGAAAAGAAGGTTCTATTCATATTTGCAGCTGTCAAATTTCACTGTCTTTTACTAAAATATTATAGTAGGATGATTTGCTAAGATTTTGTGATAAAATGTTAAAGACAGAATAAGGTATAAAGTTTTAGTTTGAAGTGCATTTAAAAATAACTACTAGAAATAATGTAAGACTTTGCACCTTTAGCCAACTATTTTATAAAAATATGTATTGTTCAACATCCAAATATGGAAAGTCACTTCATAACAATGAGAAATATCTTGAATTTCAGTGTGAAAGATACTCACTTTAAAGCATTGTATTAATGTTAGCATTAAAACCCCTTAAAAAGATTAGCAAATATGTAGCTAATTAAATAGCTAGTAAAAAGCAAGGAGGTTTTAAAATGTAAAGGAGTACCCTCTATCGTGATACTTAAAATTTTTGTCTAAATTTCATTTAAGATATAGAGTGAAATGAGGCCAAGTTTCTAATTCATAAATAAAATTTTATATTTAAAAAATAAGTCACAGCTGATTTCATTGAAGGTTACTCTGAGAAGAGAGGCAAATTAGAGGTATACTTTTGTTATTTATGTAATTATATAATTTTCCTTATTTGAAATATTCCAAAATAATAAACCTTAGAAATGAAAAGAATTTGTTAGTTATAAGCTGACAAGTAATTTTCTTTTATATTGACTTCTTGCTTTTACAGAATGTCTTTGTATACTGTAACATATGTGCAGAAAACATCAAAATATTGCTAATCTCAGAGACAAATACCTAAAATAAATCTGACTGTAGATTTTTGAAAGAATTTTAATAACAGCCCAAGATATGATCCATTCTTCCCTAATATTATTTTTATTGTGTTGTTGGATGGGAGACGTGATGGCCCCCACAACACCTATTTTTTTGTGTTATTAAAAAATGGTTACAGGGTTGATAAGTGACAACAATTTTCTTTTCTTTTATTGTCTTCTATTGAAAGACACACATAAATGTATTTTGACATGGTCAATTGAGTAGGAAATTATTAGGCATACTAGCACACTCCATTTTAAGACCTCTTCAATTGTCAATACTGAAGCTAGCTACTTGTTGACTATTAAAATGATCACAGAAAAATAGAGATTAGGACTTGGTGTTCAATACATGTTTTTATTGCTAGAGTGTACAAAGACCCTGGTAATATGTATTTGCTTTGATATTCTGATTAGATTTTCAATTGGTTGCATTTCCTCACAATGGAAAGCATTATTTAAATCTGTCTTCAATATTGTGGTTCTGAACCTCTGCATCTATAGAAGCTGTATAATTCAGATAATTTTGGTTCATATGTTATTACTTTATTTCATTTTATTATAAAAGAAGATCACGTGAATAAACACATGCAATACTTACACCTTAGCAAGAATGAATATGCAGATAAACATGTGGTATTGAAGAAAAGTCCACAAAATTTTTTTTAACTGTTTAATGTTTTTTAAAAAAAATTCCCTGTAAAAATGAGTGTTTCCTGCAAAAACTGTTAAATTAATATATACGTATTTTACAGAATACGTTTAAAATTAAAAATTAATTGAAAAGAGCTTGACATGAATTTAGAAAGATCAATGAGTAAAGATGATAGGTAAATTAAAATACCTTGAGAATTGTTTGTAAATACAGGTAATGTACAGAGAAAATTTTAAGATAGTTAATTGCAAGTAAGTTATATAGTTTTCTATTATTTTATATGTTTTAAGTGGCTGAGTCAGAAACAAGTTTTGATGAAATGAAAATAATATAGAAGATTTCATTTTGAAAGTCATATTAAAGCTGATTTGCTCAGAGAATGTCATTATTTTTCACTTGGGGCCAGCATTCAGCAAAATCCAAGAAGGAGAAAATCTTTCCTTGATATTCCTCCTGTTGCTCCTTTTTAATACTCTCTTCTGGAGCAGACTGTTCTGCTCCTAATTTAGGGTCTCATAGCCTTGGTACCTAGAGTGACATATCCTTCCATTCAATGGCTTCTTCCATTCAACTGAATTTTTAAAATGTACTCAGCCCATTTTCCAGCACTTAGGGAATCTAATAAAAATAATTCTCACTCATAGGCGGGTGTTGAACAATGAGAACACATGGACACAGGGAGGGGAGCATCACACACTGGGGTCTGTGGAGGGGAACTAGGGGAGGGACAGTGGGGGGTGGGGAGTTGGGGAGGGATAACATGGGGAGAAATGCCAGATATAGGTGATGGGGAGGAAGGCAGCAAACCACATGGCCATGTATGTACCTATACAACAATCTTGCATGTATTTCACATGTACCCCAAAACCTACAATGCAATAAAGTATATATATATATATATATAATAATAATAATAATTTACACTTACAGGAAAAGTCTACAGAGCTTTGACTTTCTAGCCAGGCCTCTCTTTCTCCTCCCAGTGGAATTTTAATATGTTCTCTCAGCAGACAGGGCCAAAAAGATCAGCTAAATGTTGGATCTCAAGTGAGGAGACTGATGCCATGGTAAATGGTTAGGGAAAGACTTTAGAGAGAGAGTGTTTTGTTAGCCATTGGTCCTGCCTGTGGTATTTAAACACAGAATTTCTGAAAGTGTCTCATATGAAGGATCCATCCCAGAGATGTATTCATCTCTTTAAGATATTCCTGAAGAAATAAACACCTTTCTTACAGCAGGTAAAAAATTATTGCACTACATTTTCAGATAATTTTGATATTCCCATACACTTAGAAAATGTGTATACCTATGTAACAATTCTGTACAATCTGCACATGTTCCCCAGAACTTATAGTATAATTTTAAAAAGGTATTTATCATAATTAATTTTAATAAATGTATTTTAAAAGTCATTGGATACTCTTTGGGTACCAGAAGAATTTTTTTTAAACTGTACAATAAATACTACATAATTAGACTTTAAAATGTTCTTGTAAGTATTCCAAATTTCAGCTTAGAATGGGAAAAACTTATTTGTTTGCAAATGATAGAAAATGAGTTCAAACTTGCCTAGGCAAAAGAGATAGTATTTTATGTGTGAAAAGTCCAAGGACAACAAAGTCAGGAATGGCTGGATCCAGGAGCTCACACAAGATTATCAGGATTAGGTCTCATTTTTTTCATTCCTCAGCACCTCTTTTCACTGTACTTAAGCAGTCTCTGGTGGAAGCTGTCACCAAATTGTCAAGTTCCTACTGAGTTGATCCTTTCAGCAAACTGTGGGGAAAGAATGCCTTTACCCAATCACCACAACAAAGTGTCAGATTTAGAGCTGATGGGACTGAATTGGATCACATGACCATAGCTGAATGATTACTGAACTTGAGTGCACACTCTGTGTGATCATGCCTAGCTCACAGGCCCACTGGTGCATTGACGGGCACTACAGATGCAGCACCTGGGCTCTCTGCTGAAAAGAGGGATCTCCTGATGTAGAAATTAAAATGCTTTCCCCAAAAGAAAGGACAAAAGCCTCAGAATTCTACTACAGAGTCACATATGGTCACATTTTAAATAATCATTATTTCCCAACTTCTTCAAATTCCACACTCATACAAAAATACAGTTTAAATTTAAAGGTGGATCTGATTGAAACATGAGTTTCAATTAAACTAAATATAAAATTATTTTTCAACAGCTACTGTATGTGTGACAACTCCTCACAACATTTGACTTCTAAAAGCTTATAATCTAGAGTGACTATTATTTTAATAATTATGATGCAAATAAAATTTGTCAAGTACCACAAGAAAATTCAAAGAATGCTCTGTTAAGGTTCAGAAATTCAACCAGCACATTTGCATTCCTGTTATTTGCCAGGCCATAAACTAGAGAATTTTGTAGGTGTTGTATCATCTGATCTCATCCTTTCTGGGAATTTGGACAGTTTTGGAGGAAATCTTTGTGGTAGTTTTCAGGGAAATCTGGCATTAGGAAGATGAGAAACATTCCAAGGGACAGGAAGGAAATGTGTCAAAGCATAAAAACATGGAGTGTCAGAGAATTCCAAGGCAGTCTGAATTCTCCAGCTTTGTTAGACAGAAGTACCGAAAGATGGTGTGAGATCATAAACAGAGCAGACCTGGATATAAGTAACAACAGGGCTTTTGAGCAGGAGAAATACATATTTGGATGTCCACACTTTTACATCTTGATGGGTTGTCTATCTAGGGTCAGGATTTATTTGTTTCTTCTGTTTATCTTACTGTGAAGTGACATTCTCTTTGCAGAAGAGTTTGCAGTCAATGAAGATATTCCTGTAAGGACAGGCACTGAATTACAATGTTCAGGTTCCTGAGGTTCTTATTCAGGCTATGGTTATAACAATCTCTCTCTTTTTTTTTTTTTTTTTCATTTGGTGAAGGCTTTTTGTTTTGTTTGTTTTTAATTTGAGAATAGATGATATAGCGAAGTTGGTTGGAAATCAACATAAAGCCCAAACACAAAGTTTTTAGAGAAATTATTTCTTATACCGTATTTTTATTTCTATCTATTCCATTTATTCCCATCTCAATCCAACATAACCACTTTACATATGTTTAATATGTATTTATATTTCACAATTTCTGCAAAAAACATACGCACATCTATATGTGTATGTATCTAGCATAACTGCATGCACCTCACCACTTTGTTTTTTTTTTTTTTTTAGAAATCTAGATTAGAGATATTTTATAACAAAAATGAGAAATGACCTAATTCTCTTTTTTATAGCTGTATAATATTCCACCATATGGAAATGTCATACTTAATTTAACCAGCCTCCTGTAAAAAGAGTGACAGACATTTTCAATTTTTTCTAATTCAATGAATGTCTATGTAATTGTTTCGATTTGAAAATCTCTCTCTCTGTGTG